ATGCAGCTGCTACATACCAATAGACATGAACGAGACTGCCTGCACATGAATGCACGGAACACATGTTCATTCTGTGTGGGCAAAGATGGCCCTTTGCATGGGTGTACGCATAGATTCACCTGTGTGAACAAGGCCTAACTCTGCATTGCAAAGTTGAGAATTCACGGATTGTGGTGGGGTTAGAGGAGAATGCCTCTGGCGTGTACCCAGAAAAGGTTTTGCCAATGTCCAGTCACCTTAAGGTAGCAGCCTGTAACCCACGGTTTATGAATATTCAGCCTGGTACTTGTACTGTACTCCAAAATATGGAATTTACAGGTAATTCAACATTTTTATTTTTTTCAATAGTGTAAAAACTGATGTTGGTAATACACATTCTTGATCAGCATGGTGGGAAAGTGAATAGCTGCAATGGCTCCTGGGTATATATTTTACTAGGCACACAGTCCTCTCAGAGTTTGTCTGTTAACCCTGGTTTTCTGCTGATTTCTGTCAAAAGGCATACTATTAGGCTAGTTGGATTCTCATCAACTGTGGAACAGATAGGTCATATTGGGTCTACTGAGGTTCACACCTATGTAAGGCTGTTCTTCACTTTGGGAAAAATATTACCCAATCCTGTAGCTGCTGACTTTTAATAAAAAGGGGCCTAGTGCTGTTCTCGCCCGGGCTAGTTCTTCACTAGCCTTTGGATTCCTGGCGCCGACATCCTAACTGCAAAAATATGTCTCAAAGGGGTAGGATATCCTGTCAGATAGACAGATGGATATATATATATATATATATATATATATATACACAGGACACAAAAAACCTATGTTTAATATCTATATACTGATATAAAATGGCCCCAGTATTTCCTGTCCCTGTGACAGGAAGTGTGGAAAGATCTCCTCAGTGAGGACACAGACAACAGTAAAAACTAGAATGAAGTACTAACCTTTCTCAACCTCATCCTAAACCGTTTGCTGTAATTGATGTTTAAACTGACCAATGGCCACAAATGAGAACAGAGACCCTTGATATATCTCTGGATCTACATGTTCACCCTCATGTCAGTATGATGGCAATTGTGTAAACCTCCTTTGAAATGCAGGTGTGATTAACATGGTTTGAGTCAGTTCACAAATATCCAGATACACAAGAGGGGAAATTACTGGACAAGACAGGCCTCCCAACCCTCGCTGTGTGACGGGACTTTGCTAAGCCTGACGTACATATTGGAAGATTCTCTGCATTTTTGGCAACATTACCCATTGTTTAGCTTCATCCACCGTTGTTTTATTTATAAATGTCGTGCCTGGTACTTCGAGCCTTATCGGGCCAGTTACGCTGAGATTTAATCATTTTGAAATGTCTTACACCTTCAGTTTTTTCTTAGTTTTATTTCTGCTCTGCTAAGTCACTGATATCCACGATAAAGAGTAGAATACTATAAAAATGTTCTAGTCCTCATACACACTGGACATTTGTACAGCGGCTGTTTTTTGCTTTTGATGTTTTTTTTTCTACAGCCATTAATCTCCCCGGCATGTTATCCTATGTGTCCATGCACACATAGACTGTAATCAACGTTTTTTGGCAGAGGCGTTTTTGTCTGGAAAAGACCCCAGAGCTTATTGGGTTTCTATAGCAGTTTTTTAGCTGTAAAAATGCTCAAACGTGGCAAACCGGCATTTTTTGACTTTTTTTTTTAGCAAAAAAAAAAAAAATGCTGAAAAAAAAACGCGGCTAAACGCTAATTCAAAAAACCCTTTTTCTTGTTCATTTCGGATAAACTGGGTAAGAGTTAAAACTTCTGTCAGGTTTTCAAGCAAGTCAGTGTGAGTATTTGTTAAACTCATCCCAAAAGCCCATGTACTCTTCCCCTTTTACTACTGTGAGAGCATCACAGGGCTGTGTTTTTTCATTAGCAGCTGCCCAGGTTCTTACAACAAGCTTGGAAGGCAAGGTGTATGTGGAAGCGTTGACCTCACAGTTCTGCTAGGTGTTGGGCTTTCACTACCTTCCAACCAACAATAGAAATACATCTTTAATTAGAGACATTTTTTATTTTGTAGAAATGAAACAAGTCCAGAAAAAAAAAGTTAAAACAAGTAAATATAATATACCTTCCTATAAATTTACAAATGCTAGCTAGCATAAGCATTAAAAATAGTTAATGTTGATTAAGAGAGTTTAGTTTTGCTTTACCCTAGGTTCACACTTGTTCACATGTGGATTTTAGTGCATTTTTCAGTTTGCAGAAATGCACTACAGTTCATTTAACATGATTTCCTATGGATCTAGTTCACATCAGCGCATTTTGAACTGGTGTGGATTTTTGAAAGGGTTGGGGACTTTTTTCCCGCTGCAGATTGCATTTTGCGTGTAATAGACTTCAATAGAAACACACCAAAAATGCAAGTATTGTGTTTTTGATGCATTTTGCAGGTTGTATTTTGTGTTACATTAAATTGGTTGTTAAGGACCAGTAAACAGCAGTGAGGACAAGGACCTCTTTCCCACAACCCTGGGCTGTTGTTGTGGGGGTCTGCGGGGGTGGGGGGGGGGGGTGAGTGACTTTTCGTAATCTGGAAGCCGCCTTTAACAAGGGGGACCCCAGATCCCACCCCCCATGTGAATGAGTATGCCTACTCATTCACCACAAAAGTGTAAAAACTAAATAAAAGCTCAACTGCAATTTTTGACAAGTGCTATACTAATTTAAAAAAGTAAAAAAAAAAAAAATTGTCCCCTAAAGTAGATCCAAAATCAAGCACAATGAACGCCAATGCTCCCCCCCCCCCCCCAAAAAAAAAAAACCACACAAAAAAAATAAGCTCCATTCCCATCAAAGACAGCTCGTAAATAAGCCAAGGGGCGAGCTGCATGGTGACTCCGTCCCCTTGCAACGTAAGATCTTTCAGTCAGAGCTCACTCATTCATTGTGACTGACGTTGCATCTACTTTTTTTTTTTTTCGCTTTACTTTTTAATAAAGCACTTGTCAAAAGCTGTCGTTGAGTTTTTATTCATTTTTTACACTTATTTGGTTAATGAGGAGGGGTACTATGTACCCCATACTCATTCACATAAATGGGGGGGGGCAGGATCTGGGGGCCTCCTTGTTAAAAGGGGCTTCCAGATTCCGATAAGTCACCCCCTGCAGACCCTCACAACCACAGCCCAGGGTTGTGGGGGAAAAGGTCCTTGTCTTCGTCAACATGGGGACCAGGTGCTCAAAGCCCCCCCCATGTTCAGGGCATGTGACCTGGAATGGTTCAGGAGGGGGCCCCCCCTCCCACCTTTCCTGACCTTTCATGCTCAGATGAGTGTCTGGTATGGATTCCAGGAGGGACCCCATGCTGTTTTATTTTATTGCGTGGGGTTCCCCTTAAAATCCATACCAAACCCGAAGGGCCTGGTATGGATTAGGAGACACACCATGCTGTTTCTTCCCATTTTTTTTTTAATTGCCGGCAGTATGTTTATTGATATTCAGCAGTCGTTAAGGATGCGATGGCCGCTCGCTCCTTAATGACCATGTTGTTTACTGGTTGTTAAGGAAGCCGGCTGCTGCCTGCTCCTTGACATCCAGCTTAATTCACACAAAACGCAAAAATGCATGAAAAATGCAAAATAAAAGCATCAAAAACTGATGTGAAAAAAAAACGCAAAATGCACCCGGACAATGCATCAACTGCAATCTGCGTAGATGTGAACCTAGCCTTAATAAAGCTCCTTGGCAGTCAATTCAAAATGTTTGATTTTGTTCCAACTTTCTGAACTGTCTGTTTTACTATCCACTGAAAGTAGCTAAAGACCAGACTGTTCACCCTGACTCAGTCTTGTGTTGCCCAAGAGAAATTTGTCTATACATGTATACAGTTAGGTCTGCACAATAAAGTAGTGCCACACCTTCTTAACGATCAACTGGGGGATGTTGCATAATAACTCCATAGATTGCTATGAAATTTTACATGCTGCTGAATATCCAGAGATCTACCAAGCAGGTGTAGTCCTACGTCTGTTAATTGTTTTCAAGTGTACCGTCACAGTTGAAATTACCCCTATGAGTTTGTGTATTATTTGGTTTCCAAGCCCATTTAATGCTGTATCTAACTAAGCTATGTGTATGGCGTGGACAAATGTTTTTATCACACTCTTTTTAATGTTATTTGGCTGACTGTATGTTCACCTTGAGAAGAGCTTATTCTTCACATGATCCTTGGGATCATATAATAAAGAAACTTTTTGCATTCATATTGATGCATTATTTACTCTGTTTGGGATTAACTAATACCGGAATTTTTGCAGTTTGTTCTGGTCAACTGCCTTTTTTTTCTTATACATGAGTTCTAACCTAAGTCTAGTTATCCAGCAGCTATTCAGCATTACCAAGTCACTTTAATAAATGTTATGTAAAAAGGTCATAAAATGATCAGCTTTTGACTTGATGAAAAGCTTACCACTAGATGATTTAATCTGATTTATATTTTTGAGAGATTATTTTTTTTTTGTGTTTTGGGTCTTTTTTTTATTATTTTTTTTTTTCTTTACATATTCAAGTCTTTCTAGTTCATTGTCTGTCAAAAAATGCTGATTAAATTATGTCATTATTTGCCTTGCTCTTGTGAGGTTTGCATGTACAGTCCAGCTGTGTGTATGTTGGAGAACAGTGATGACAGGACACAGTGTAGTAAATAAGTTCATCACTTGTTATTGGTGTAAAGCAACTGGTGTTGAATGAAAAAAAAACAATGTCTTTCTATCTCTGAATTGTAAAGGGCCTCTCTGATAGCGAATGGAGCATGACAGACATATACAGATGGTGTTTCTCTTCTCTGAAAAAGCACACTCTTGGAATCTCACAGATCACGTATTGCCACTAATATATTACATTTTATAATGGATCAGTATGGTGTATATTGTTATGTAAACCAGCAAATAGATTGTTTTATTTTTTTTCAGACTTCAGTTGGGGAGAGTCTACAAAAGGAGGCCCTGAAGAAGAGAGTAATGAAGCAGGTACCGTGTAAGATGCAGAATGTTTTGCTGAAAGAGATTGTACTTCACAAATATTATTTTATATATCATTATATTTTAGCAACAGGCTGACGGATGAATCACTCAGATCTTTTTAACAGAATACCATCAGCACATCAAGGCTAAAAAAGGCATCACAACGTTAACAGTTTAATAACTGCTGATTTCTGCTAAATTGTATAGAAAATGCATGTACATTTCTATTTATTTTAACTCACGCTGACTTATGTTTTGATGTCTGTTGCCATACATTTGTGTGAATAGTACACATTGGAAATGATTGTTTTTCCGATGGCCTTCCATTAATACAGCTGCGCTAAAACGGAAATCAACACACTGGTGTGAACTGGCCCTAAGACTTCAGCTAGCCATATACAGATCAGAATTCAGTCGGTTCAGCATGGATCATATGAATTTTGATCGATCTATGGGCAGGCTGGTTGTACAGAAGTTGATCTCTTGATTGGCTTCTGTACAAACAGCCTGTTTGAAAATGTTTACTTGATCAGTGCCACTGTCTGTAGCCTCCCCGCCTTTTGAATACAACAGACTCAGTAGGAGGGATTTGTCCCATCCACATTGAATGTTTAGTGAAATTTCAATGCAGAGTGCAATGGCTTTAGGAAGTCCATTTAGGATTTAGAAATTGTACAGACTTTTTGTTTAAAAATCCCATGCACTGGTTTGTACATGATATTTTATAGATATAACACTGCTTATGCAAATTACTATAAAGACTTCATTATATGGGTGCCGTTAGACTGCCAACACCAGCATGAAGCAGGCCATGCATGATTAATTTTCTTTCGTTCAACCAGCAGGAAGGAAAGAAAATGAATCGATTCCCCCACACACAATATTCATTCAAGAAGCATCTTCAGCTCTAACAAGCTGTTAAAGCTGAAGAAGCTTCTCAAATGAGTAGTGAAACACATACACTGATCAGCCATAACATTATGACCACCCACCTAATATTGAGTAGTTGACCCTCTTGCAATCAAAACAGCTCTGACATGCTGAGGCATGGTCTGCACTAGTGCTCTGAGGGTATACTGTGGTATCTGACTCTTTAAGGCCTGTAAGTTGCAAGGTGGGGCTTCCAAGGATCAGACTTGTTTTTCCAGCATATCCTACAGATGCTAGATTGGCTTGAAGATATGGAGAATTTGGAGGCCATGTCAACACCTCAAACTTGTGTTCCTCAAACCATTCTTGATCCATTTTTGCAGTGTGACTGGTCTCATTATCCTGCTGAAAGAGGCCACTACCATCAGGAAATACTGTTTCCATGAAGGGGTGTACTTGGTCAGCAACAGTGTTTAGGTAGGTGGTACGTGTCAAAGTAGCATTGACATGAATGGCAGTACCAAGATTTCCCAGCAGAGCATAATCCAAAGAATCACACTGCCTCCGTCAGCCTTCTTCCCATGTGCATCCTGGTGCCATCTCTTCAACAGGTAAGCAGAGTGCACATAAACCCAGCAATCCACATGCTGTAAAAGAAAACATAATTCATCAGACCAGCCCACCTTCTTCCATTGCTTCTTGGTCCAGTTCTCATGGTCACGTGCCCATGGTAGGTGCTTTTGGCTGTGGACACAGCTGGGGTCAGGATAGGTTTAGCCATTACGGTTTGGCCCTTGTCAAAGTCACTCATAGCCTTACGCTTGCCCATTTTTTCTGCTTTCAACACATCAACTTCAGAGAGAACATGATCTCTTACTGCCAAATATATCCTATCCACTTGTACCGCCATTGTACCATTGTAACAAGATAACCTTATACCTTTTACCTTTCAGTGGTCATAATGGTATGGCTGATCACTGTAAGGAGTTGCAGTGGCTGGTAATAACCGCTTCCCGACTGTCCTATAGCAGAACTACTGCTACAGGGCAGTGGGGCTGTGCTAAATCACGTGTGTATATATACGTGATTTTGCATTTTCGCCAAGGAACAGTGACAGGGGAGAGACCTTTGTGTAAACAACACAGGTCTCTCCTGCTAGCAATAACATGCTGATGTGTACTTCTCTGCAGAGCAGTGAAATGCACAGTAGCATGTTTCCCTAGTAAAACACATACAGCACACTGTTAACTCTTTGATCACCCCAGATGTTAACCCCTTTCTGCCCAGTGTCATTAGTACAGTGTCAGTGCTTTTTATTAGCACTGATCACTGTATTGGTGTCATTGGGATGTCAGTGGCAGTTAGTCCGTTCCCCCCTCCAGTGGCAGAATGCCCACCGCAGTCCTGTTATAAGTCGCTGTTTGCTACCATTACTAGTACAAAAAAAAAGAATTCCAGTATATACTGCCATTTGTAGACGTTATAACTTTCACGTAAACCAATTAATTTACTTGTATTGGGATTTTTTTTTTAACAAAAACATGTAGCAGAATACATTTTGGCCTAAATTTATGACGAAATTAGATTTTTAAAACATTTTTTTACTGGATATGTTTTATAGCAAAAAGTCAAAAATATTGTTTTGGTTTTTTTTTTTTTTTTTTCAAAATTCTCGTCGTTACAGAAAAATAAAGCAAACGCAGAGGCGATCAAATACCACTGAAAGAAAGCTCTATTTGTGGGAAAAAAAGGATATAAATTTCTTTATCACAAGATCAGGAAGAGGGGTAAATCCTCTGAAGGGCAAGTGGTTAAAGAGAAGGTTAGCTCAAATGGCTGACAACTAGGTAGATATTAGAATGTAAAGGGGGAGTGGGGCATTTATTTATTTTTATATGAAGCCTGTACTAGTAGGAACTGCCCTGGACTGTTCTCCCTATGGCAATTTAACTGGAATTCAATATTCTGAATTTCATATTTTTGTTTGACTGTAATTTTGGATGAATGCCTTATTCAGCGTTATTTCTACTGTGACTGACTAATATCCACTAATAATGATACCTAGAAGTCATGTATGTTGCCTAATAGAGGCTGAAGATTATCAGAGGTTGAACATTTTGTTGGTATTTAATGCATATATATTATCTGTATTGTACAGGAGCTCATTAAGTGATCACATAAAGTTCTCTGTTAATTCATGTGAAATGTTGTAAATGTATCTCTTGTTTAACCAGTAGATTACTTTTCTGTATAACATGCCAGTAAATATCCTTTCTATAGCTGACAGGCGTGATACCCCACCTGGCCTTTTACAATGAGAGTGGCCTGGTAGAGTTTGCCTTAATCACCCTGAGGTCATTGTAATAAAATGTGGTAAATTAAAGAAATGTTCTTATTTATATATATCTCTTCCAAGACCAAGCTGGGGATGCAGAGAGCCCTGGAGGAGGATCCATCTGTGTACGAGTATGATAGTATATATGATGACATGCAGAAGAAAAAAGAGGAAGATACAGCAAAACTGATTTCTGGGCAAGATAGACAGGTATTGTATACAGTTGTCCAGCATACGTCTATAAAGTGCCCAACTGTAGAGTTCTTTCCAAAGCTATGTAAAAATAATTATTTCGAATGCAATTATTATGGGTCAGTTCACACTGGAAATATTTTCCTAATGGCTGTCATTTAAAAGGAACCTGTCAGGATAGAGGCATGGGAATAACTATTGCTTACTTGTTAAAGACAGCCATTAGGGTTGATCTTCTTATGCTTCCTTCACTGCTTGGCAAGTATTCGACCTAGAAAGTATATTTGGTGCTGGGACCCCTGGAATGTGCATGCTTAACCACTTCCCGCCCGGCCTATAGCCAGATGGCTGCCGGGCGAGCAGCTCATCCCTCCGGATGGACGCCATATGGCGTCCTTTCAGGCCTGCACAGTTTGCCTCCCTGCAGAGCCGCGCAGCGGGGCGATCTGTCACCGGCCGCGTACCTCGGACACGGCCGATGACAGATCTGTGTACCGTCCCTGTTGCCAGTACCATGTGACCTGCTGTGACCAATCACAGCAGGTCACATGACAGTTGTATACAATGAATGGTTTCCTTTCATTCCATCCATTGTATACTAGTGTGGCTAGCTGTGAATGGTCACAGGGATCATATGCACAAGCTGGGCCAATCACAGCCCAGCTGTGTCATGTGATTAGCTGTGGCCAAATCACCGTTAAACACAAAAAAAAAACCCTGAATGAATCGATTTAATTCAGGTAAATGCTTGCTTATAGCAAAGTAATTCCTTGCTATAAGCAAGTTGTGTAAAAAAAAAAAAAAATACTGATCACTTCCCCAAGTAGTACAATGTTACTATGGTAACATTATACTACTTTGGTCATAGTGAAATATAAAAAAAAAAAATCTTAAAAAAAGAGAAAAAAAAAAATGTAATGAATAATACAAACAAATGTAAAAATTTTTTTTAAAAAAATTTATCAATTTGTTTTTTTTTTCGTACTGTCACCAGTCAGTGTCCCTGATCACCGCCATGCCAGTTATATGTTGACACTGTACTGCACTGGTGACAGTATGTAAAAAAAAAAAAATAGTGAAAATCATTTTCTTTATTTTTTTATTTCCGAAAAATTATGACAAAAAAATTACAACTTCAAAAAACTCGACATGCCTGTTATGAAATACGTTCTACTGCTTTTTGCAAAAAGGGTAATTTTGGGGGATATCTGTACTGTTCTGACATTCTTGGACCTCAAGAAATTAGATTGTCCGTCAGTACTTCAGGATTGATCAATATTCAGATATATGCCATAGTTTTTTGTGAACTCTATAACTTTCCTACAGACTAAATAATACATCCTAATTTGGGTTATTTTCACCAAAGACATGTAGTAGAATACATTTTGACCTAAATTTGTGAAGTGCAATTAATTATTTGCAAACGTTTATAACAGAAACAAAGATAAAGTGTTTTTTTTTTAATTTTGGTCTGTTTTTGTTAATTTAGCAAAAAATAAAAACCCCAGTGGTGATTAAATACCACCAAAAGAAAGCTCTAGTTGTGTGAAGAAAATGATAAAATTTAGTTTGGGTACATTGTTGTATGACCGTGCAATTGTCATTCAAAGTGTGAGAGCGCTGAAACCTGAAAATTGGCCTGGGCAGGAAGGGGGTAAAAGTGCCCAGTATTGAAGTGGTTAAGGGCAATAACTCACTAGTCCTGTGTCAACAGGTTTTTGTTCATGTCAGGATTGCTTCTCTTCCCGTTTGAGTAAATAGGAACATAAAAGCAGGTTGATGCAGCGTAGGAGGAGATCAACTGTATGTAATTAATGGATAAAAAATGGATCTACTGACAGAATCAATGGGTAATAAAACTATTTCAGGAAGGACTGCTGTGTTATTGATAGCAGATGACTACATCATACATGTCATTTTTTATTTGCCTATAGTTTCACATTTAAGCTAAAGATGGTAATCTTGAAACATGCACCTTTTGGAAACAACTCAGCAATGGCAGCTCCCATGTTTTTCATAAGATAATGTACTACATGTGGTGCAAAACACCTAATAGTCCTTGTTTTTCTCAGCATTTTGCTGTTTTTATAATACATTTGGGTCCTTGTTTTTATCGGGAAACAGTCACCTCTTATGCTTACCATGTTCCCATCATGCATTATTCCCTTTAAGGTTTTACTACCCTTTATAAGATGGAGTGGTGTGTAAAGTGTACCCAGTTTCAAAAAAGTTGGGATTCTGTGTAAAATCTACATAAAAACAGAATGCAATGATTTGCCAATCTAATAAACCCATATTTTATTTACAGTAGAAACTATACTAAAAGAAAAAAGTCATTTTGAAATTGATGGTAGCAACACATCTCAAAAAAGTTAGGAAAGGGCAACATAAAGCTGGCAACGTCAGTGACACTAAGAGCTCGAAGAACATTTTAATGAACTAATGAAGTTAATCGGCAACAGGTCAATAACATGATTAGTTATAAAAAAGGGCATCTTAGAGAGTCAGTGTCTCAGAAGTAGGGCAAAGGTTCACCAGTCTGTAAAAAGTCTGTGAAGAGTGCGCATGCGCGGCTGACGGCACGGGACATGTCTCCCTGAAGCTCCTCCGTGCCGCTGGGAAGACAGCCTCACCGCCGCACGATCTGGGCCCGCACTGCCCTACAATCGACACCGATCACCTCTATAACCCCCTAGCCACCTGTTATAATGGTGAGGGGGGCACATAACACCAGGCGGTGCCGCCGCACAAACCCATAAAGGAGGCCCTAGCTCGGGCCTCCTCCAAGATGGCCGCCGCATCGGGGAACTACAATGCCCAGCCAGCATCTTCCAGGCTTGCAGCCTTACCGCCAGAGCAGCCGAGTCATCCTTGCTCTTTGGAGGGTGAGTCTGATGATGAAACTGAGACCCCCATGCCTGTCATGACGCCTGACCTTGCTGCCCCTGACATCCTGGCTCGCTTTGAAAAAATGCTGCACAAGGCCCTGAAACAGACCTCTGACCTCATTACTGACAAGCTGTCCAGGGAAATCCGCGAGCTGGGGCAACGCACTGCAGACCTGGAACAGAGGGTGGAGGACATTGACGCATCACTCCAAACGCAGGGGGACGAGCTTGACCTGCTGCGGGACAAAAACATTACACTTCAGGTGTGTTTAGAGGACTTTGAGAACCCGGCTGATTCCTGAGCAGAGAAAGGAGGCAGAAACAACTCCTCCTTGAACAAGCGTACGACCAATCCCATAGTGCCTTTCAAACATCCCCCACCCCTGCTAACAAAGAAGCCCTTGAGCACTCTCGACTAGCCCTGGATCTCTTCCTTACAGACCAAGCCGAGCTCTCCATTCGCAGGTCTCGACACAAATTTTACACTAAAGCCAATAAACCTGGCACTTTTCTTGCTCTCTCTCTCCGTAAACTAGACCAAACCATTAAGCCCATATGGTTACAGACCTCATCTGCAAATTTCACCAGCAACCCGGAACAGATCCTGCGAACTTTCCACAAGCACCTCTCGCGTCTCTATTCTGCCTCCACACCCTTTGACTCTTCCCAGTTCGAAGCCCTTTTCGCTTCCCTTCCTTTTCCAAAATTGGCCAAAAATCATCTTGCAGCACTGGAACGACCCGTCACTACAGTCAAAACCTTAAATGCTATTAATTCCTTGAAGCCCCGCACCGCCCAGGACCTGGCGGCTTTTCTGCCAAGTACTATAAAAAGTTTTCCCCCATTCTCACACACCTGTTATGACAAATGCGTTTAATGTCATACTCTCGGGTCATACCTTTAGCCCAGATACAGTGCAAGCCAACATCTCTATGATTCCTAAGCCGAACTCGGATGACACACAATGGTCTAATACAGACCAATTTCCCTCCTTAACGTAGATGCTAAACTGTTAACCAAAATCCTATCTACTCGTCTCAATACATGCATTGGATCCCTGATCCACAATGATCAGGTTGGATTCATACCAGGCAAGCAGGAGACAACGTCTCCCTATTAGCACATTTAGCCATATCCCGCAATATTCCCACATGCTTTTTGTCCTTGGACATACGGAAGGCGTTTGACACAGTCTCATGGCCATACTTACACTACATTCTGAGCCGATGGGGCTTTGGCCCACATTTCTTAACCTGGATCTTTTCTCTCTACCAGGGCCCTTCGGCCAGAATCAAATACCTAGGACATCGATCCACTCATTTCCAAATTCTGTGTGGCACCAGGCAAGGTTGTCCCCTATCCCCCTTGCTTTTCGCACTAGCTATAGAACCTGGCACTATTGATTAGAACCCACCCACCAGATATCCGTGGACTTGAGATAGGAGGCACCTCACATAAACTGTGCTTATTTGCAGATGACGTCCTACTTTTCCTCACCTCTCCCTAACTTCTATACCTACCGTACTTCGCCTACTTGATAGGTTTGGTGCGCTCTCTGGCCTTCAAGTTAATCCCTAGAAATCATTGGCGCTTAATATCTCACTCCCACCTAATGAACTTACCCACCTAAAACTGATCTTGTCGTTCTCATGGTCGCAAGACTCCGTTCCCTTTTGGGTATAAAACTCACCCCGCATATCTCAGGTCTTTATACCGCTATCTACATCCCTATGCTGGCTCATCTAACGGCACTTATGACTAAATGGTCCTCCCTTCCTCTAGTTTGGCTAGGCAGGATAGCGGTCGTGAAGATGTCGATCCTTCCCAAAATCCTCTATCTCTTCAGAGTTCTCCCTATCCCAGTACCCGCCCACTACCTTCGTGTTTTGCAGCGCCGCATTTCATCCTACATTTGGGGCAAAGTCCAGCCCCGTGTCCCCGCTCTACTCTAAACCAATCTAAACTCTATGGCGGTCTGGGCCTCCCTGAGATCAGCAAATACTACTAAGCGGCACATATGGCACAACTGCCGAAGTATCACGCTACCTACGAAATCCCGCAGTGGGTCATTCTCGAATCCATCGAGTGCGACCCCTTTTCTACAGCAAACCTTCTTTGGCTGAGACGCAT